CGTTTGCCAACAAAGCACTGATTTCTGCATCCATTGCCTCGTTTCAACAAGGCATAGTCAAGGCTTGCTGGTAAGAGGGAGGAATACCCACCGAATCTAAAGGGGCAAATAATGATCTTTAAAATGAACCTCAATCGTATCAAGAGAAGTAAACAAAGCTCTAGGCTGTAGTGAAAAGTCAAAATCATCAAGGGAGAAACCATATCGATCAGGTCCGTAAAGTACACATGAAGAACATCGTAACTGAGTAGAGCTATCAATAAGAGTAAGAAAAGAATCACTTATAGGTAGGGTGGAGGTTTGATCTTGCTCTGGTTGGTGAGAAGGAGTGTGTATGGATTGGTGTTGTTGACGTTGCTGTTGAGGTACTAAAAGATGTGATGGTTTATCAATGGAGAAATCTAGAAAGAAAGGAGCAGAGGACATGATGATTTTGCTATTGAAGAGTAATAAAGATGCTTTTCAAAAAGACAATATTACAAGAAATACGTATACGACGAGCTGTATGATCATAACATAAAAACCCATTTGGTCAGGACAATAAACCACAAAAACACAAGTGACTGCTTGAATCAAAAAGTTTGTTCGTTCATACGGTAGAAGATGAACGAAACATATACACCCAAAAACATGCAAGAGTGAATAATCAGGATGAATATGAAATAATGAATAATATGAATATTGTTAATGAAAAACCAAGGATGGGAGACGATTTATGAGATAAACAGTTGATGCAGCTTCAACCCAAAAACTATGAGGAATACTATAGTCATGCATAATGGTCCTCACAGCTTCCAAGATATGACGGTTTTTCCTTTCAGCCATGCCATTATGTTGTGGAGTATATGGAAAAGTTTTTTGTGATTGAATACCCTATGTTTTCAAAAAGTCTTGAAAATCATTTGATAAATATTCTCCCCCGGAATCTGACCGTAAGATTTTTACTTTGGTATTAAACTGAATTGCAATTATGGATAAAAACATTTTAAAATGGGAGAACACTTCTGATTTCTGACGCATAAAGTATATCCAGGTATAGTGTATACAATTATCAATGAACAAAACAAAATACTTATATCCTATTCTCGATAAAGTTGGAGCAGGACCCCACATATCACTATGAATGAGATGGAAATGTGTAGTTGTTGTATCTACTCGAGTCAGAAAAGGCAAACTGGTGCTTTTATTCAAAGAGCAACTAATACAAGATTTATTGATAGAATTCAAATCAAGTTCTTTATTTAGCAATAAACCATAACGAAACAAAGTATCTAATTTATTTGCATTCGGATGACTAAGTCTCTGATGCCACATATGCCATTGTTTATTGGAAACAGAAAAATCAGAATTCGATGAAGAAAAGAAAGAAGTATCATGATTTGATTTATCAAACTCCAAGACAAACAAAAAACCAATTCTACGCCCCTTCATATCACTCTCCTAGTGTGTTGGTCATGTATTAGACAATCATCACGAGAAAATTGAACATTGTAACCATCATTAACTAGTTGGCCCACAGAGGACATTACGTAAATCAAAAGGTGTACCACGGGAGATAGAAAGTGAAAGATTATCAGTACCAATAATATTCAGTTTATCCCCATTAACGGTGAGAATCTGACTACTACTCTTGTATGGTTTATTAGATGCTAGACTTGTGTGCACTCCAGTCATATGATTAGAGGCACCTGAGTCAATAAACCAAAGGGGATTTACACTAGCGGATAGGTGAGAGTTCATACCAGACAAACCCATAGCGGAGAAAGAAGAAGAGATAGCCGTAGAGATAGAGTTTTGTTCTAACTGTCGAATATCATCTGATGTCTAGGACATTATCACATTTGAGTCATGAATAATACTGGATGGAGGGGTCTCTACTTTTAGTCCCTTGGAAGCATCATTAGCAGCTTGGTATGCCCTATACAAAGGTCTTCGTGTAATGAATGCCCGATTGCCTCACCGAAAAGGATTTCAACATTCAGTGATAATATGTCCAGCACGTTTACAATAAGTACAAAAAATTTTCTTCTTACACTGGGATGCTATATGACCATATTCGTTACACTCATAACGTTGCAGCAAATAGGGATCCTTTTGTGATGGTGTTCCTCTAACCCGTTGAGCTACAAGTACCGACTCTATATCCTTTTTTTCGTCAATGGTGGCTTGAGTCATGATTCTTGTTTTCTCACAAAGTTTGTCAACGAGAATAGCATCCATATTTGTTATTTTTTCTCAATTCAAAATATTGGCTCGAACAATCTCATAGTCTGAGCGCAACTTCATCAAAAACTGCATCACCTTTCTGTCACCATTTATCTCCATTAAGCTCTGAATGCAACAAGCACTAGTGATAGCCTTCAAGTTTACATATTCATATTTTGTCTACAAGTTCATGAAACCAGCATAATATTCTTGAATGATTTTCTCCCCTTGACTATAGGAAAACGTATTACTCGATTGGAAGCGTCTTGCAAGATTTGATTGCTGATAAACTTTTTCCAAACATTCCCACATTATCGCAGTATGGAAGCATCTCATTGGCCTTCCAATAACCAAATCTACAGAGCCGAGGATCCATGAAATAATTTTTGCATTGTTGATATTCCATTGTTGGGATCTTTAGTATTAGGTGTAGCTGGTTCAGGTTCAGTACCATCAACATACCTTCACAAAACTTTTCCCTTCAACAAAGAATTGAAAATGGAACCGCCAATAGGGATAATTTTTCCCATCAAGTTTTATAGCCAATACATCTCATTTTTCAGAAGCCATGTGTAAGTTGTATCAGAACTCATAGACGTGATAAAAAATTTGGATATAGTCACTAATTCATGAACATAAAAAGGAGTTTTGATATAATATGGTCCTTATGGACCATGTCCCTTCTGTTTTTTTTGTTTTTTTTTTTTGAGGCAAAAGCCAATCTCCAACTCTATTGTCAGAAATTATATCTTCTGCTAAATTTCAGCCCCAAATCGGAGGATAACAACATCAAAATAATATCTCAAACTAACAAAGACTTTGATCTTTCGATGATCCCAACTCAACCCAACTTGATCTCCCTTTTTTTTTTCGAGGCCATATTCTGATTCTTCATGCCCCTATCCATTGCTTATCTGACTAATCTCAGAAAATTACAGCGATGAAGAATAATTTTCCATGTTTTCATCACTGAAGGAGTCTTTCCAAAAGAATAGTGCTTTGATGATATACTCAAAAAATCCCACGCTTCATGTTGTTCTGCAACATTGGAAATGGATAACAGAGAATGACTGGGCATCAACGAATTGCTAGTGGTCGATTAGATATCACAATGGCCAAGCAACAACGGATTGCTAGTGATAGATCAACCAGGCTCTGATACCATGTTAAAATTATGAATCCCCCAGAGAAATCTATGTGTATTGATTAATAATTAAGAATATACAGAATCCCCTATTCATATAGGGCTAATCAGTTATTGATAACAATGAACTAATCTAGTATTATCAAGAGAGAGTGCTAATTGATAATAATGAACTAATCTAGGCTTATCAATATAGATATCTACATCAAATACAAGATAAACTTAAAATTAAAAAAAAACTATTATCTTCAACTATCTATATCTCCTCGACTATCTCTATCTACAATACTTACAAATTTACATTTGTAAAATCTGTACTTTTGTAGATTTATTTATTTGTAAAGGTCACACCTTTGTTTACTATTCATAATTATATATTGATAATCAAATCCGGTATTTTATATGTTTATTTATTTACATTATAAATTATATAATGTATTATTTTTATTACAGTTGTAAATAATTTTTTAAAAATTAGATGATATTAGAAGACAAATTTTCAATTTATTCACAGGGAAAGAACATCTCAATATTTATATATCGATGAAAAGAATAAAAGTTCTTAATATAGTACCCTCATTTCTAATTTGATTCCTAAAAAAGAACATTTATAATGAAATTTAATAATTTTTTTGGATTTTTTTTAAAGTTGAATCGGACCGATTCAGCCGATTCTCGATCTGGATCGTCGATTCACCGATCTGGATGGGTTTTTGGAGTGGCCGATCCGAGGTACCGATCCGTTTTTTAAACCACTAAAGATTAGAACCAACCGTCGAGGAAACCGACCTATTCCTAATACTTATCGGGAATTGGTTCGCCCTTCACCCTTTGCCCTTGACAATTCCCAATCTTGACAAGCCGAACTTGATCCTGATCGGCGTAGTTTTAAACTTTGATTCAAGGAAATTACCCAAAAAATGTTGATAATAGTTGCCCGATTATAGAAATTTTTATGATAGATCTAAAATTAATTTCGAATGCCAAAAATAAAATTTGAAACTTAAAAAATGGTACAGATCTTGAGGATATATGGATATATGAATACTTATTTTTAGGGTGAAATAACCCATTTAAATAATTTATTACAATGTACACTTTTTTTTTTTTACACAACCCCACTGGTCAAACCGATCGATATAAAGGTTTAATTTTCGTTAATTTTCGATGGGCCGTGAGGGCTTCACTTATTGTGATGGGCCCTATAAAACTATTTCCCCCTTTTAAATGGTCTCGCGTGGCGCAAGCCTTTCTTGACCTCAAAAGCTCCTTCGAAGAGGAATCACTCCTTATTTTTCCCTTGCCATCTCATCCGCTATCAACCCCAAACAAAAGCGAAAAGATATTCTATTCCTTTAGGAGTATACTATTTATTTACTCCCTCAGGTAAAACCGTCTTCGTCATTAATTTTAGGATCTTAAATTTAAGAATATAACCTCGCACCATCTAACGGTTTTCTACGCAATTTTTAGAAGGTGAGATCTAGAAATCTCAAAAAAAAAAAAATTTATTTATTTATTAGAATAATCATCTACAGATTAAGGTAATTAGCAAAATGTCAGAATAATTTTTTTTTTCCAAGGAGGTCATGACGAAGGAATTAGAAATAAACTATGCTCCCGAAAGAGAATAGAATACAAGCTCAAAAAAAAAAAAAAAAAAGTAACTTCCTCGTCATATCTCTCTCTCTCAATGTATGGCTGCCATTTAAGCCCGAGTATATCTATGTCTTGCCCATGCTCAAATATTGTGTCCATGGTGGAGAAGAGAGAGATCCTTCCAAGTGAATCTTATTCACCTTCTCTCAACTACCCTGCAAAATCACCCCTTGAACCACCATGCCTGAGACTCCCTCTGTCCCTAACACTAACCCTAAACTTTCAGGCATGGCCGTTGCCCTCTCACCTTCTTCGCTGCCTACCAACACTGAGACCGGCATCCCGATCTTCACAGATGAACACCATCCACAACAGAAGAAATTGACCCTGATACCTCTTATCTTCCTTATCTTCTTTGAAGTCTCTGGAGGCCCTTTTGGTGAAGAGCCCGCTGTGAAAGCTGCTGGCCCCCTGTACACGATCCTCGGTTTCCTCATCTTCCCCTTCATATGGAGCATTCCAGAGGCCCTTGTCACCGCCGAGCTTGCCACTGCGTATCCGGGCAACGGTGGCTATGTGATATGGGCCTCGGAGGCGTTCGGCCCCTTCTGGGGCTTCCTCCTCGGCTGGTGGAAATTTGTAAGTGGTGTGATAAACCTCCCGGCCTATCCCATGCTTTGCATCGACTACCTCAAGCTTGCTTACTCGCCCCTCTCTCATGGCTGGCCTAGAACTCTCTCTATCTGCCTCTCCACTGTGATCCTATCTTTCCTGAATTACACTGGTCTCACCATCGTTGGCTGGACGGCCGTTTTCCTTGGCACCGTCGCGATCCTCCCCTTCGTCATCATGGCCTTCGGTTCTCTCCCTTCGATCAAGCCGCACCGGTGGCTGAGCACCGAGCCCGCACACAAGGATTGGACACGCTTTTTCAACACCCTTTTCTGGAATTTAAATTTCTGGGACAGCATCAGCACCATGGCCGGGGAGGTCGATAAGCCCCAAACAATTTTTCCGAAAGCACTGTTCTCTGCAGGGATCTTCACATGCCTGGGATACATCATCCCTCTTCTCGCCGTCATTGGGAGCCTGGAGCTCGCTGATTCAGACTGGGGCAACGGGTTCTTAGCGGAAGCCTCAGGGAGGATAGTGGGTCGATGGCTCAAGTTCTGGGTCGAGGCAGGGGCAGTGCTCTCAGGGATCGGGCTCTTCGAGGCTCAATTGAGCAGCGTCTCCTTCCAATTGCTTGGAATGGGGGAACTCGGGATTTTGCCTGCCTTCGTGACCCGAAGGTCGCCGTGGTTTAACACCCCGACCTTCGGCGTGGTGGTCTGTGCCGCCAGCAGCATCGCAATCTCGTTCATGAGCTTCAACGACATCATTTCCTCAGCAAATTTCTTGTATGGCTGCGGAATGATGCTCGAGTTCGCGTCATTCTTGTGGCTGAGGTGGAGGAAGGGGGAGGTGAGGAGGCCATACAGGGTGCCCATGGGAATGGCAGGGGTGGTGGGGCTCTGTTTGGTGCCAGCGGCATTCATTGTGTTTGTGATGGTACTGGCCAGAAAGATGGTGTATGCGATCAGCGCCGGTGTCACGGTGGTGGGCGTGGGGGCGTATTTCTTCAAGAGATGGTGCAGGCTGGGTAATCCGTTGGAGTCCGCTAAACCGGCTCCAGATGCTCCTGGGATGGAGGGAGTTATTAGACTTGTTTCTGGGATCGAAATGGCCGATTCGGATTAAGAGCAACAGACGACAATCGGAAACCGCCGGGGATGAAACCGGCTGATTGACATCCAGACGAGGAAGCCTCTCTATATACCTAGAACTGGCCCAAAAAACTTTTACAGGGCTGACGTGAGTCAAAGATAAGATTGTAGACTGTGATATTTTCTTGTAAAAGGTGCATCCATTGCTTCTTTTCTAATTTAAATACGAAAAAAAGTATATCGAGGCTGATAAACTACGGATTCTCTCTCAAAAACCCATTAGAAAAAGTAGTTTTAATGTTGAAAAATCAAAAATAGTTTTAATGTTGAAAAACCTTTTGATTGATCATCTCGACATCGAGATGTATGACTATAAAAAATAAAAAGTTTTTAAGTCTTAAAAATAATACATTTTATAACATATTATGTACACGGTTTATTTTCAAGATTTTTATATGCTTATAGATTTACTTGATTTTAAATATTTTTTAAAATTTAAAATTTTATAATTAGATATAAAAATAAATTTTACGATAATCCTTATAACATTTTACATCAAAATTATATACCATGATAAAATTTGAAAGGCACCATACCTCTACACCTAAGGAGAGCCATACCTCTACACCTAAGGAGGCATCCGTATGCCAACTACACTCTTAAATATTTTGGTAAGCTTTCTATACTTCTCTTACAGCATAAAAGTTTTTGTTAAGCTTTCTATGTTTTTTCTACGGCATAGAAGTTCTATTTTTCTCTTATCCATCCCGCTACGAAGGCATCTGTATGCCAACTACACCCTTTAAATATTTTGGTAAGCTTTTTATGCTTCCTCTAAAGCATAGAAGCTCTATCATGTCTTATCTATCCCCTTTATCCAGCTATTCCATTTTGAATGGAGGGGAGTCTTCCATTTTGGATAGAGGGCTAAGATTGCCCCAATTATAATGTTACGGCTTTAGATTATTTTATTTTTTATTTGTTTTATTATAAATTATTTTGACACCAAATTTTAGAAGTCTATTCCTTTATTAAATTTACACTAGCAAAAAATATAAAAAAATATTTTATATAAAATAAAAAGATCAAAATATTTTTGAAAGTTTTGAAAAGTATTTTGATTATTATATTTTATTAAAAAAATTATTTTTAATAATTTTTATAAGTGCGTCTCAATGAGAAGATGATACACCCCAAATTTCATATTCATACTTTTTCTATAAAAAAAAACCTCAAAAATATACTTTACTTTAAGGCATCCATTCAGTTTTCGAATCCCTTTATTAAGATTGCTCTTTTTAACTTTATTAAGATTTTGACTCTTTTTAACACGGACAAAGCTACAAGTGAGGCCCACTCGTGATATTTTCTTTAGTGATTGCAATGGCAATTGCAGTTTCGCTGTCACATAAATCAATGTGTTTGTCTTGTGGCAAATGGCCCACCTTTCCATTTTCAACATCCGCTGCCACCCAAACTCGTATTAGTGGTCGGATGTGTCTCATCGGTCTGACTTAGTGGTTTAGAAAATGCTGCGGTCTGACTTAGTGGTTTAGTGTAGAGAGGAGGCCTTAAACAATTAATGTGATTTTAATGCTGAAAATCTTTGTAATAGTTTTAAAATATATTTTTATTTTTCATTATAAAATTTAAAGCTTCAAACATAAAAATTTGAAAATCTAAAAAATTGAAGAAACAAAAATATATTATAAGATGGACTATTTTCAAAACTTGAAATCCATTTTTTTTCTCCTGTATATGTATTGTGAGGCCGAGATGATCAATTTGAAGATATTTGGACATCAAAACAACCTCTTCTAATGAAAAATTTGAAGTGCGCCATAATTTGATTGGTTATAGTTTCACATTTATATAAAATTTTGGAAAAATTATGTACATATCCATCATAGTTTGCGTTATTACAAAACTATTGAATAGCTTTTGGTATTACCTATCTGTCTGTTTTTTTATGCCATAACGAAAATAAATAAATAAAAACAATTTTACCCTTTTTCAACAACCGATTTCAATGGATTTTCAGTTGTTTAACAACCTAAATCCTCTATACCCTTCTTTAACCACTTTTTACTCGTCTTTTCTCTTTAAACTCTTTTCAATGTTTATCTACGTAGATTAGTCCTTGTAGCCTTTAAACTCTTTTGGATGTTTATCCATACAGTAAAGAGTTTAAACCTTGAGGCATAGAGAGAGAATGGATAAACATAAGAGAGAATATGGGATAAACCGTTAAAAGTGATAATGGACAAAGGTTTAAACCAAATATTTATCTATTCTCTCTATACATTAGATTGGGTGAGTTTAAACTCTTTCCTACCCTTTAAACTCTCCCCTATGTTTATCTAAACTCTCTCCTGTGTTTATTCATTCTCACTCTATATCTTATATTGAGTGGGTTTAAACTCTTCCCTATAGAATTTAAAGGAAAAAGATGGGTAAAGTGTGGGTAAAGAAGGGTATAGAACGACCGAAAAACCATTGAATTCGAATGTTCAACAATCCAAAACCAACAACCGAAAAAACAACTGAAAACCATTGAATTCAGAAAAAACAACCGAAAACAACCCATTCAATTCGGTTGTTCAACAACCGAAAAAGGGTAGTACCTACGAAAAAAATTTCGGTTATGTCAATTTTCATATCATCAACAATGAAAACTTTTGAATTTTGGGTTTTTCAAAAATCGAAATTGGTTTGATTTGAATTCAGTTGTTAACTGAAAAAAAGAAAAATTGTTTTTTTTTTTAATTTTCGTTATGACATGAAAAAAACGGACACATAGAGAATAACGAAAACTATTTAGTAGTTTATAACAATGCAAACTATAATGAATATGTACGTAATTTCCCCTAAGAATTTTCTTTTATATAAAGAGGGTCACAATCATATAAAAGGGAGGGGACATGCTTAATTTTAAAAAATAAAAATATATAAAAGGCAGAGAGGACAAGGCTTAAGTTTGAAAAGAAGGAAAAATATAAAAGCGAGGGGACAGAGATGCTACCAATAGCTTCTCAAACACAGGTTTTGTCCATGCCGATTCCCTATACGGATCACTGATACTATTACATTCATTATACTATTTCTCATTTAGTAATCCCAACTTTTTTGATGAATTGATGGCACCAATTCTACATTTTTTTTCTATGCAGACTAAGGAGAAACGGAGAGCTCAATGGCATGGGGGCTATATTATGAGAGAACAAGGAGGTCAACCTGATTTAAATATATAACATGGATTCCAGCAATTCAATGTAATTGGACTCTCATACTGATTTGAATGATTTAGTCTTTCTATGAACCATATGTTCGTCCTTGCAAAAACAAAAAATAAATACAATATAAAGAAAAAAAAAGAACTCATTGATAGGATTGCCGATACTTGGATCTGCCCCAAACTACACAACAAGTATGGAGTGCTAATCTAAATCCTATAGGCCAAACCCCATTGTGACGGGTGTCCAATGTGAGTAACCCTTCATCTCTTTTCCATTCCGGTCCGTAAGAAACCCTCTATTTTATGGAGTCCCTACCTCATAGAATTAATTATAATAATTAATGACTTATAGGAGTTGATATCCAAATTGTAACTCTTATCTTTATTCACCTTAAAAGGCATTGGGAGTTTTGACGAGCTGTCACGTAGTTGTTAAAACTGCCTCGTCAAAACTGGCATTAAGATTAATTAGGTTACTCAGGAATGAAAAAGTGTATATTTATAAAAGTTCAGGCCAAGCCGAACTACGCTAGCCCTGTCTTGGCCCTGGCCCAATAGCCTCGCCTACGGCTCATGGTGGCCGGGTCGTAGCCTAGCCCTAAGGCCACATTTTGTAGCCAGTGCTCCAATCTTTTAAGGCCGGCCTGATCGGGCCAAGCCCGGACACCCGACCTGCCACCCCCTACAAAAAGCTAATTCTTTGTGTGGTATGCAAGGGATAGCAAGTCACAAATACTTCTAAATAGAACATGTATTTCTATTTTATGAATTAGTTTATGTTGGGGTTACCCTCATTCTTTTTGTGGCGACTAAATCTTGTATGTGTTTTTTTTAGAAAAGAAATGAATCCATTTTTCGAAGTCTCAATAAGACATATGGAAACACAAGAACTATTGATTAAAAATGACTAGAAATGGAAAGGACGTGTAGCTCCAATTATTTTGAAAATTGTAAGATCTTAGGCACAAAAAGAATGGGTTGATCTTCAGGAACGGTGGGTTTTAAAACACTGTTTACTATTGCAACATATTTCAACGACACAAAGTTTATTGTGCTTTGTCATGACGAGTATCAACGATGCTCTCTCTCAATAACTTGTAGAAACGAAAAACAATCCACGAAAACAAGAAAGCAAAAACAAAACACAAAAGAAAGAAAGAAACAACCAACCACAATGCAACGATATACGTGGTTCGGTAACATACTTATGTCTACGGGAGATGAAAGCTTCTTTACTGACAATGGAGAATAGGGTTACAATAAGAATATGGTTACAATAACCCTTTTCCTCACGCCTCTTTGTTCTCCGATTACAAAGAGATCTATGTTTTTCTCGTAACCCTAAATGAATCACATCGCAACAATATATGCTGAATGGCAACAATGTATATCGAGTCTCAGATAGATGGTACAAATTTCCGAAATACCCAAAGTAGAGATATATATCGAATCCCATGTACGGATATTCGAAAGTTTCCTTGGGGGCGGAATCAACCGAGTCTACCTAGCTAGACACTCCTCCGAGCTTTTAACGGCCCTCCGGAGTCGTCCTTTTGACTCTACTGTAATAGATCTATTTCCCCATAATACACGACATCAATCCTCAATATAACCCCCTATATTTGTTGGGGTACATTAAAACCATGTTTAAAAACTCGAATTTGGTACTTACTCGGCATAGTCAAAACTGAGTTGTATCTCGAGATAAATAATACCGGCAAGCACCCTGTTAATACAAAATGCATTACAGATGGATATATTATTAAAACATAATATAGTGAATGAAAAAATATGCATATCTTTTTAAGTGTGATTGAATACTAGGTATTTGTTTAATGGAATGAGGAAATTATATATATACAATAATTAAGGGGTTACGTTAGGGTGCTCATACTATGGAGTAATTTATTATTCTACTCAACAAATTTTTTACACTTTTATATATTTGTTTTGTATATAGAGCATTTTTTTTAATAAAGATATTTTTGGTCATTATGAGGGGTGTGACATGACCTTCAT